GAAACATGAGCTGTTTCTTTCAGCCTAATCCACTGTTTGTTGACCACCCCCTCCCCTCATCCACTGTTTGATGACCACCCCCTCCCCTCATTTACCTCCACCACCCCCTCCCCTCAGTGACCAACCCTCCCCTCATTAACCACCACCACCCCCTCCCCTCATGGATCACCACCACCCCCTCCCCCCTCATTGACCACCACCACCCCTCCCCTAATTGACCACCACCACCCCCTCCCCTCATTAAAAACCACCACCCCCTCCCCTCATTGACCACCACCACCTCCTCCCCTCATTGACCACCACCACCCCCTCCCCTCATTGACCACCACCCCCTCACCTCATTGACCACAACCACCCGCTCCCCTCATTGACCACCACCACCCCCTCCCCTCATTGACCACCACCACCCCCTCCCCTCATTGACCACCACCACCCCCCCTCATTGACCACCACCACCCCCTTCCCTCATTGACCACCACCACCCCCTCCCCTCATTGACCACCACCACCCCCTTCCCTCATTGACCACCACCACCCCCTCACCTCATTGACCACAACCACCCGCTCCCCTCATTGACCACCACCATCCCCTCCCCTCATTGACCACCACCACCCCCCCCTCATTGACCACCACCACCCCCTTCCCTCATTGACCACCACCACCCCTCCCCTCATTGACCACCACCACCCCCTTCCCTCATTGACCACCACCACCCCCTCACCTCATTGACCACAACCACCCGCTCCCCTCATTGACCACCACCATCCCCTCCCCTCATTGACCACCACCACCCCCTCCCCTCATTGACCACCACCACCCCCCCCCCCTCATTGACCACCACCACCCCCTTCCCTCATTGACCACCACCATCCCCTCCCCTCATTGACCACCACCACCCCCTCCCCTCAGTGACCACCACCACGCCCTCCCCTCATTGACCACCACCACAACCACCCCTTCCCTCATTGACCACCACCCCTCCCCTCATTGACCACCACCCCCCCCCCCCTCCCCTCATTGACCACCATGTTTCTGCTGGGGGGAAGGGGTGGCAATTAAATCACTTAACTTTTTGTGAACTGGGATGGGGGGATACGGTCGCATGTTAGGGTATCTTATATTTTCTATATTATTTTTATATATTTCATTTCATTCGGGGGTGAGTAGAGAGGGGGGGGGGCGAAAGAAACACCACACACAGCCTCACACACTTATAAATGTCCAACTCTTAATTCTTGATTCACATATTTAATGAATTCAAAAGCTTGTTATCATACATTCTTTTTATACTAGCTCAGGGGTCGGCAACCTTTTGAAGCGGAAGAGCCAAAAGTTACAATTTTCAAAATTTCCATGGTTTTAAAGAGCCAATAATATTTTTTTTTTTATTTCAAGACTTTTTTTTTATTAAGATTATTAGTATTTGTTCAAGGAGCTGGAGAGCCGCATCTTGATATCAAAAGAGCCGCATGCGGCTCGCGAGCCGCAGGTTGCCGACCCCTGTACTAGCTTTATCACTGAAAGAATTCGGAAGCTATTGTAGGTGGTGGGGTATTGCTGTAAAATTCCTATCTATCAACTGATCATGTTGCAAAAATTGTTTGAACCTATAGGTGGGGTGGGGGCGGGGACGGTTGAAGAAGCCACTCCATCATTACCTACTACCCTTCCCGGGTATGCGATGGGGGAGATAACCCACACCACCTAAATAACCCAGGGACATTTTTAACTGGTTCAAGTGCCGCGAGTTATCTTTCCTTCAATCGTCTCCCTTTGTCCAGTCCAGCTTGGATTGACCGGACTTTGTGATAACTTTTTAAACGTGGAAAAGGGGGGAGAGATTGAGAAACGGTAGACAACTGTTGTGAGCTGAAAGGGGAGGTAAACCACCGGGGGTCTGGCCGATGAAACAGGTGATGTCATCACCGTCGCCCCCTCGTGTCACAGTGTATCGTGTGCAGCGAGGCGTGACCGAGTAAACACGCGTTAGATATACGCGTTTAACGATGCTTGAAATATATCAACCGTTCGCAGTAAGTTGAGATGTCTGTCTTGATATGTTTGTGAACTTTGTGACGTTCGCATGACGTTTTTACTAAATCTAAATTTTGAACTTTGGGAACTTGAAAACATTTTTTTTTTTCATTGAGAGAGAAGCACTTTATTTAAAATAGAAAGGATTTTCTTTATCAACACGTGACAGTGGCATTACAGAGATATCTTTAAGTGCATTGTTGGTAGGGGAATATTTTGTATATATACAATTTTGTCTTGTATTTATACTTAATGTCTTGTGCAGCTAGTGTCTATTTATTGATACTTCAAGTGCTATACTTTCTCGTGTGTATTGCGGTACTTTCTTTCTAGTATCGATACATTATTTTTTGTTTTTGGACTTCATGCTGTATAACAGCGGCCCTTTCTGTCTAGTGTTTGTACTTTCTGGTATCGGTAGTTGATATATTTGATTTATGCTTCATGTACTGTAGCGATACTTTCTGCATTGCATTTGATTTTCTAGAGAGTATTGTATCGGTACTTATGTTTAGCATCGATACAACGTATTTATACATCATATATTGTATGGGTACTTTATATTTAGTATCGATACAGCATATATTGTATTAGTACGTTATGTTTAGTATCGATACATCATCGATACATCAGATATTGTATTGGTACTTGTTATATTTAGTATCGATACGGTATATATTGTATTGGTACATGTTATGTTCAGTATCGATACATGAAATATTGTACTTATTATGTTATTTTAACTACGGCATCCATTAATTACAGTTTCGTTGACACATTAAAACCAACACACAAAAATATGTCAACGAATGGTTTGCCGTACCAAATCGTATGCGCATGCCCACCGGATATAAGCACTCAATGCGTCTGACAATAATTAGTTAATCACCGCCCACTAATTACGGCAAGACTAACGCTTGATGCAACACTTACCAGACGACACAGCTCTGGTGTAGTCTGTGTGTACAGCACCAGACACCAGACTCCAGACATTTTAGGCTTCTGTTTTTTTTGGTGTGTAAACAAAGTGTTTCTGTGCATTATCTGTTGCTAAGGATGATGGTACTGACGTAGGTATTTATTTCTTCAATTAACTTTTTCGTTCTAATACTTGACTAGATTTGTTAATTATTGTAACTAATTATGCATTGTAGGAATATAGTTTTAGGTTCGTTTTTGAATTGTTTACAACGTGATTATTTAAAAACAAAAAACTTGGTTGAACTAAATTTAACTTTGTTTTTATAATCTGGCTATTATCAACTGGGTGTCCTGGTTTTTCGACTAAATTTCCATGTCGCAATCATCCAACAACCTATTAGAATCTGTAGCAAATTATTTATTGATTTGTTTAGCACAAGAGATAACCGTATAACGTGCTTAGGATTTTATATAATATTTGTTATATTATTTTATTTTGAATTATACTGAAGCAACCGACGCTGAATTCCACTAGCTGTTTTATATTTGACCTTTACTAGAATTCTTAACAGCTATTTATCCGCCCGCATCCCCCCCCCCACCTTTACTGGGACGTCATCTAATACAACTATGTATATGTATGTAGTGATGTCTTTACGCTGTTAAAAACCATTCACCCTGTCCGGGTAGTGTTGAAACACAGTGAGCCTCTGGGCGGCTGTAAATAGATAGGTTCTAGCGATTATAAAATAACAAATAGACCCGGGGTCATGCCCCCCCCCCTCCCCCAATAACTCACGTTCATATAAACATCTAACCCATGCGTATAAACGGCCTTGGCTAACAGACTGGTTAGTTTAGAAAGGTGAACTTTGTTTTGATTATTATCAGATCAAATGTTGTGATTAGATAAGCTATCAGGGGAGATCAGCGAGCGGAGAGTCACCGTGTGTTTGTTTTGTACCGGTTATCTTTCTTCATCAGTCCAACATACTTGAATCAAGTGAGTGGAGTGTGAACTTCGATATAATCACTGTATACGCATGTGTTGTGAGCATTACAGCAAGACTCACATAATAGACTCTTCCAATAAAGCCTTTATTAAATAACTATCACATTTTGGGTTCGGAGTTAATATTAGCAGTCTATTAAATGTAATGCTATTTATAGCTTATTCCAAGGCTACGTTACACACACTGGTATAAGAAAATTTCTCCTAGTTGTAAAAGTTTGAAACAGCCTAGCAGTATTATTACTGCTGCCTTTACTTGTAAGATTAAGAAATGTTGACAACTTTGCCTTTGAGTTCACGTTTCACTCTCTGTTTTTATGGGGAGGGCAATTGAGAAAAAAAATTATCTCTCTTATGTTAAATATACATTCTCCATTGTCACCCCCCACCACCATATGACGCCTACCTCCCACAGGAAAAATGTCTGAAAGGAACTGTTATATATATATATATTTATATATATATATATATATATATATATATATATATATATATATATATATATATATATATATATATATATATACATATATATATATATATATATATATATATATATATATATATAATATACGTCCAATCCGAATGTTTTATTAGCTAACACAGCAAACAGCCCCAGGAACTATTGTAACATGTTACCTGTGGTCCCTAGAGTTCAATCCACCACACCTTAGACGTTTCTATCATCAACACGGCATTTATGGCAAGTTTTTTATGTGGATGTACTAGTTAGTACCTTCATAAACCATCACATTCGTCATCCTGTTTTTATACTGCTAGTTGTGGTTTGGGTTCAAATACTGTCCCTCAACATATTAGACTCGAACATTTCGTATGAACGTGGTTTCAATGTCGGCCTATTTCATTAGGATTATTAGTAGAGTGACCATTGTATATCTATTTCAGTGGGATTATTAGAAGAGTGACAATTGTATATCTATTTCAGTAGGATTATTAGAAGAGTGACCATTGTATATCTATTTCAGTAGGATTATTAGAAGAGTGACCATTGTATATCTATTTCAGCGGGATTATTAGAAGAGTTACCACAACATCATGGAGCCTGTCAGCCCCACTGTGATTTCCATGTGGAGAATTTTACATCTGCTAGAGAGAGAAAAACTGGATGCTTCAAAGGTAAGAAGACTTTCAGTTGGTAAACGTAACAGGCATGTGTGCTATTTATTCATTTAGTCCTGGTGCTGACCAGATTATTAATTTAATTCTTAAAATCACAAAATATAAACTATATATATATATATATATATATATATATATTTATATATATATATTTATATATATACACATAATGATCTAAAATTTTAAACCTTGAGAATAAACAGCCTTAGCTTAAGATAAATAGAAAGACAGCTAATTAAATCAAACAAACGATTCTTACATTGTCGATAATTAGTAATGGGTGACTATATATAAATAAGTATATACATAATATATAATATAGGCTTGTTTGGTATGTGAATAAAAGGGGTTGCTGTGTAAATATTATGGCCCTTAGTGAAACTTTAGATTGGTATGTGAGGGATGGTTAGGCTCAAATTGTTTACCAGAGATATCACCTTAAGGGCCACTATCATTGTTGACCTTTAGCCCGGATTTGTTTACATTGTACCAAGGCTCGAAAGTTGTGTCCCCTGATTAAAATGTCGTGAATGGACGATACCGTGTGCCGTCTCTACAAAGTAAATTTTCAACAGATTATGCACCTTGTTCTACCATCTCAATGCGGGAATTTGTTTCGGTATTAGTTTTAAATTCTAAGAAATCTATTCTATTTCACCATTTTTACGTAATTTTTGTATTAAGTAACAAACCCAACCAAATGTTTTAGAGATGCATTCTCGATGTTATTACAGTCCATGATCTGAAATCGATCTCCTAACTTTATCCTATCGCTAACCATACTATTTAATTATACACCCAACCATAACCCATCGATTCGCTTGTTAACGATGAATGAACGGCGTTGGATTTCCTGTAACGGAAATGTATTGGATGCATTTTTCGTCCAGTTTTGTTTACTCAAAACATGAGAATATTATAAGCATTTGGCCTTTCCCCCCCCCCCCCGGGACTAGGCTCCCACCCCCACCACCCACCTCACCCCTCCACGGAGATCTCAAGCTCATTCGTCTCAACTGTGTTTACAAATCACAGATAATTCTCCCACAATTCCCTTCCTTATCACCGCTAACCCACATTCTCACAGATTGTGACCTAGTTCGGCTGGTCACGTGGTCTGTCCTGAGTGATCGTCTTCACGTAGGCCCTTCTCTGTCTTTAAATAAGGTAGCCAGTGGTCACCAACACGTAGGCCAAAGGTAGCCAGTGGTCACCCACACGTAGGCCAAAGGTAGCTAGTGGTCACCAACACGTAGGCAAAGGTAGCCAATGGTCATCAACACGTAGGCCATTGTCTGTTTTTAAATAAGGTAGCCAACGACCACCAACACGTAGGCTACCCATGGTTTAAGTAAGGGACTAGCAACCTAAAATGTTTGAAAGTGTATTTTTTATATCCTGATCTATTTGGGGCCTCATTCATTGTCGGTCCCAGTAAGAGTGTTTGGAGCCCATTAAAATCTTTCCATGTGTCTGATACAAATATTGTTAATGGGCCCCAACACTTATGCTCCCGGGACCCAGCTGTGTGGGGGCCCTATTTACCACAGGTGTACAAATATAGATGGCCACTTTTTCAAGGTTGTGTGGGGGCCCTTATTTTAAAAACTTACAAGCTCATGTATAGGTTCATGTCGATACCACTGACACTAGAGAAATACGTATAGTCTTGTTGAGTAATATGTTTGTAACACACACTGATACGTATTATTATTTACTATTTCAACTGATCAAATCTGCTTCCTCTACGATTCCATGGTTAAAAGTCTGAATGTTAACATGAAAATAAATTTATTTTCTCGAAATTCTTATCAGAAAGTCACATTAGACTATTTATAAAATTCAACACGCTTTGTCGCATGAATATGAAAATTTCTTATTGACCAACAGCAATGTACGAACTGCGACCCCCCCCCCCCCCAACATCCCCCTCGGCTCATACTCGTCGTTATATAAAACGTTATCACTTAAACTATCATAGTGCAAAATGGGCGGAGGGATAGGTTTCATTGCGTAAGACAAATTTCAAGGGAGGCTATCTATTTCTCGCGTATACATATCGCTTACTCGCAGTTGTCAAGAGTTGCGTGTCCTTATTTCAATAAGGTACCCGTGGTTTCTTTCAAAACATTTGATAGTATTACGTGTGTCAGGAAACACAACACTCTATAGTTCTTGTGATTCATATTTTACAAGCCCTGAGTGTGGGTCATGTTATCCCCTCCCCTCCCCTCCATGAAATAATAAACTAAACCAGAAGTCAATTATAGCCACCAACCTTGAACTACCTCAGTTCGTCAAAAGTTGGTGGTAAAAAAAATTTTTTAACCGATTAGTTAAGGTATGTTAGATCCCCCTCCCCAAACATGTACGTACTTGTAAAAAAATGTGTTAAGATACACGTAAAACACACATTATATAGGTGTAACATTGCCTGCATGATGTTGATGGTGTGAAAGTGTTATATGTGATGTCAGATGATGCCTGGTGTCTACACCTACATTACAAATTTTAAAAAGTGGACATCTGTGGTTCATCCCGTGTGGTCTACATATATGTGTATGGGTGTGGCAGTTTTATTTGAATCGTATGAACATTCACACAATGACAACTTTAATTAGCTTACGTAACACATGCTGGAATATAACCCTCAAGAGCTCGCTTTAGTTCTGGAATATAGACTGGCAATTACAGCTCTCCAGAGTTCTCGGTCCTGTTGAATTATGGGACACCAACAGCAGCACTCCATCGTTCCATGTAGTGTTGGATTATGGGATACCAACTATGGATTCCTGAGTTCTCTATCCTGCTGGAATATGGGATACAAAGATCTTTTCTCCACAGCTCTCTCCCATTCTGGAATATGGGACATTAACTGCAGCTTTCCAGAGTTCTCTGCCTGCTGGAATATGGGACCTCAACTGCAGCTCTCCAGAGTTCTCTGCCTGCTGGAGTAAAGGTCGCTCACTAAACTACAATTCTAGTCCCGAGTTATGTTTCTTGGGTAATTCTATCCAGCTTCTGCTGTATGTTATCCATCGTGATCATTTCTTATTGTAGACAGACACATATATCCGTCTGCTTCGGATGGTTCAGTTAAAGAGAATTCTGTTCAAGTTGTAAGGGGATCTACACAGTTTGTCCTATCCAACCCCATCTTTGATTACTTTATTAGCCGGCCTGAGCATGTGCCCTCCTAAAGATTACACATACGATTGCCGAGTTAAACATTTAAAACATATTAACATAAACTTGCAGATACAAAGAATCTATTTTACATAAGATAGATAGCGCCGTATAAACCATTGATAGAAGTTGAAAAGATCGTATCCCACTTCATCTTCAGCCTTTCATATCCATTAGAGCTATAACATACCCTTTCTTCTGCCGGCTTCAACCGGCATCAACCGGCACGAAAATGCTCTCATGCCTGAAGGATCGTAGCAGGATGGAGAATCCAACATTTACAGCACTTGTGTTGCCGTGGTTCATTTGAGCGATTTGAGAATGTTGTGCTTTAAGGAGGGGGTACTGTGATGTGGGGGTGCTGCTGGTGGTTGGGATTCTGTAGGAGAGGTGCTGGGATGTAGGGGTGCTTGAATGTAGGGGTGCTTGAATGTAGGGGTGCTTGAATGTAGGGGTGCTTGAATGTAGGGGTGCTTGAATGTAGGGGTGCTTGAATGTAGGGGTACTTGAATGTAGGGGTGCTTGAATGTAGGGGTGCTTGAATGTAGGGGTGCTTGAATGTAGGGGTACTTGAATGTAGGGGTGCTTGAATGTAGGGGTGCTTGAATGTAGGGGTGCTTGAATGTAGGGGTGCTTGAATGTAGGAGTGCTTGAATGTAGGGGTGCTGGGATGTGGGGGTGCTGGGATGTGGGGGTGCTGCGATGTAGGGGTGCTGGGATGTGGGGGTGCTGCGATGTGGGGGTGCTGGGATGTGGGGGTGCTGGGATGTGGGGGTGCTGCGATGTAGGGGTGCTGGGATGTAGGGGTGCTGGGGTGTAGGGGTGCTGCGATGTAGGTGTGCTGGGATAGAGGTGTGCTAGGATGTAGGGGTGCTGGGATGTGGGGGTGCTGCGATGTAGGGGTGCTGGGATAGAGGTGTGCTAGGATGTAGGGGTGCTGGGGTGTAGGGGTGCTGGGATGTCGGGGTGCTATGGGAGATCGATGCTACGGTTTCAGGACCGAACTCATGACTCTATGGCTACCAAATGTGCGTTCTACTGCTATACCATCCAATTCCACTTCTGATCTCAAGTGAAACATCGAGCATCTCCGTATATTTAATCTTTAATGACCAATAAATATTTTCACGAACTACGTGTTGAATAGAAGAATGGTTTATGATTAGAACAAACCTTGCTCGAGTCACATATTTTGATCAGATTACCAATGAACGAAACATCAATGGCGGGTTTAAAATATCTTATTTTATATTTTTAAAACAGTATAATTAGCCTTTTTAAAATCATTCTTTCCTCTGGTATTTATATGATTTTAAGCAGGCTTAAGAAAATATGAATTAAAAATCGAAAAGAAAAAAAACCGAACGCGTAGCACATACACTATTTTTGGCTTCCATTTTTATGCAAATAGGGTATCAGGTTTCATTGGCGAACTTGAATCAGATAAAAAAACTGTAGGAAACGAAAGTAGGTTGAGATGGTGTCACGATAGATGGCACATGACATATGTCATGGCTTTACTTTGAGAACTGATCAACGCTGCAACTTTTATTGCCTGTCTAGCAGATAAAACTTGTCCTTTAATGTTTTGTTGAACATAGATTCGGCTTGAGACTTAGTTTGACTAATTGAAATTTACTCAATTGTCACGTGCGAAATGGTCACAGTTTGTAATACGTGTGGTTAATCACATGGGGCAAATGAAGTAGAGTTAATCTGTTTTAATGACCTCGCCGTACAAGGAGAAAATGTGCTCAGTACTATGCCCTTCCGTCTTTGTTTCCCTAACGTGAGTTATGTACCCTGGGTGG